ATTGATTATTATTTGATTCTTTGCCTGTCACCTGTTTTTCTCAATACTTCTAGGGGTCTTTTCCCCCTTTTGGGGTTTTCATTCCGCTTACTACCTCTTTTCTATAACCTCTCAAGGGTCTCCCTTCATCCTTATATCTAATCCTCTTACTAACCAACGGCCACGGCCGGCTATCACTCCGCGGCACTTCTCTCTCATGGGAACCTTTCCCCCTCTCCAGCTTTTTCCCTCATCTCACTCTCTCATTTGGACCCACGGAAGTTCTTCCCGCCAGGTCCTCATGCGCAGCGGCCATCTTGAATCTCGCAAGGATGCGAGATTTACGGCGGCCATTTTGGATTTCCCTTGCAGGTACCCAGTGACGATGGGAAGCCCAGACTTACTGTGGGGAAACACATACAGCCTACTCATCCCTGTGACAGATACAGAGATCGCTGACAGGAGCTGCAGACTAACCATAGAGCTGAATACACTACTAGTTTCAGGTGCTCATTGCTCTTTACCTAACTGTATACAGTGGCATATCTCTTTATGGAACTTGGATGTTAAATGAATATGGATATTAAATGGATACTGTATGGGTTGTAAATATCATATTGTAATCTGTGACTGTACGCCTGGTGTACAGACTACCTGACACAGCTTCACACAGGGGTGGCCTCTGCTGTCATAACACAAAACCCAACAGCCTTTCCCCGGCCAAAGGCCTATTACTAGAGACTGATCAGGGTTATCCCGACCAGCGGTACCAATTATTATCAAACTTGCTATAGGTACCTCCCCGGTTGGGGACTTAGGGGTTATCCCTTTGTCTATTAAAGCCTCTGATGCTTCCACACAATTATAAGGGTACTCCCCTTATACTATCAACCGCTCATTACAACCGGTATTTAAACAAGAGCCCGCATTACATAGTCTCTAGTGGGGACCAAATAAGATACCTGATACCAGGCTACCCCCAATTGCCCTGCGCTAGGGGGCCTAACATATTCGTCTTTTTTCCACAGGACGATACTGAATGATCAGTCAGACTCCCCTCCTCAAACCCAAGACTTCCAGGCAATGATTAACGCTGCAGTGGCAGCATCCATGGAGAAGGTGATAACTTAAGTGCTTACGCAAGTTCCGCCTGAACCCACTACACAAGATATGGGGCCGACGCGGAAGATAATTTGGTCTCGGAGGCTCCTTCCAAGGAACTCCACTCCCGGTCAAAACTACAAAAGAGTCGGCCTCCCCTTGCCACGCGCTCAGGCGACAGGGAAGACTCCTGCTAAACGCAGTAAACATGCCACCCGTTCTGTAGCACCCCCAGCAGTGCTATCCTCAGAGGATGACGAGACCTACCCCTCAGCGGCTCTAGATGTCATTGATGAGTGGCGCACAGACACTTCCGAAGCAAAAGACGAGAATAACTGGCTAGACATGCCCTCTTCGGACTCTAAATACGTGAAAGAAACATACGGTGGAGAGTCCTTCACCCAGGAGACACTGGACTCCTTTACAGAAGACGATGGGCAGTTTCTGGACACACAGGGCTGCCCTTTCTTTGATCCACAAACCATTCGCCACCCTCAGTCCTCCCAATGGACCCTACCACCACACCTGACAAAATTTTCCACTACTGGCTACGCAAGCCCCTAGAGCGCGGGGTGCGCACCCGCATGAATGCTGAAAGCCCACGCCCAATTCTGCCAAACAAAATAGCGTTGACACCCGAGATTTACCAAACGGTCGTGGTATTCATGTCAAGAACCGGCTCTGACCCCCGTAAAGTGGTGGAGAAAGGCCTCAAGGCAACACAGGACAAACTGCTGGATCTGTTGGGCCCTATAGCGAAAATCCTCTACTTCAAACACGCCAATTCACGTGCCTCCCGTTCGGACTCAGCTCGGCCCCGTGGCACTACAGAGCCATGCAACCGCTGCACTACAGAGCCATGCACGTTTGAAAGCACGCTTCTTGCGTTACGATCACCAGATTCCCCTCACGGCTGAAGTTCGGACAGAACTTCGATGGTGGTTCCTCCACATGCAAGCCTGGAATGGGAAGGCCATATTGCTGGAATCCGACGCCAGCCTATGGGGCTTGGGAGTTCATTGTGCAGGATCCTCTACAGGCGGTCCCTGGTTGGAAGAAGAAATTAACTTGACATCAACTGCTTGGAGTTGATAGCGGGCTCCTTTGCCATACGCAGTATGGCTAGTCACATGTCAAACTGCTGCATACTGCTACGCAAAGATAACATCTCAGCAGTCCAATATATAAATCACCTGGGAGGAGCTCGATCCCAGGTTCTGGCAGAGGTGACCAAAGACATCTACAGTTTCTGCCTATCCCTCAGACATTGGAGGGATGGCAGCAACTGGCGTCTCAACGAGACGATATTCAATCAATATTCAGCCTATACCTTTCCCCCCTTCTCCATGCTGGCACGGGTGATCTACCAGGTACGGACTCAAGGATGCTCCTTACTCCTACTGACACCCCTATGGCAGAGCCAAGCGTGGTTCCCAGATCTTCAGGAATTGTCGTGCGACCATCCACTCCTCATACCGTCCTTTTCACTTTTGCTGACCGACCTGCGGGGTGAACCTCACTCCTTTATCCTACAAGAACATCTGGAACTAGTAGCCTGGAAGATTTCAGGGGATCCTAGTCAACAGATGGATTATCACAGGTCACTAAGGATCTATTATGGGACTCGTGGGCACCTGGCACCAGAAGCTGTTATCTCGCAGCCTGGAACAAATGGTGTAGCTGGTGTTTTGAGAGGGATTCCGATTCCTTTACAGCACCTGTTCCTATGATCTGAAATTTTTAATCACATTCCTTTTCCTTAGAACGTTCATATCAATCCATCAATGTCAGGCAGTCCGCGATCATGGCTGCACACGTTCCAGTTCAGGGTCTCTCAGTGGGTCAAAATCCTTTGATCTGCAGACTACTAAGAGGTATACGCTAATCACGCCCACCGACACCGAAATACTCCAGACTCTGGGATGTTGAGGTGGTCATGCGATTTTTACATAACTGGCCGGACAATGCATTTTTTTGTCCTTGCGCCATCTCTCGGCGAAACTCACTCTTTTGCTTTGTCTGGTATCTTTCCGTCGAGTAGCGGACGTTAGAGCATATAACATAAACGGTTTATCCTTTACCCCGGAAGGGGCTTCGTTTTCGATCACGAGACGTACTAAGATGAATTCGGCAACGGTCTTTTACCCGTTTTTTCCTACAGCTCCACACCTGGTCAGGATGTTGATGCATTACGTACAAATTACTAAACCTTTACGGGGTTCTCAATCAGGTCAACTTCTCGTGTCTTATGCTAAACCACACAAACCGGTGTCTACAACTATTCTCGCAAGATGGGTACGGCTACACATGCTTTTATGTTTTACCGACATTGTGTGATCGGCGGATTGGTCTCAGGAAGATATGTTTCGAGTTTTCTATTTTCTTCCTTCTCATGCTTCTTTTTCTCTTCTTGATTAGCATTAAAAATGCAAATATGAAGCCTCCTGTCATGTGGTAAAATTGTAGATTATGCTAACGTTGTGTACATATAATCTTAATTTTAGTAATTACAGGAGGCAAATATTTCCTTCCCTCCCCTATTTCTTCCCCCCCCTTTTTTGAAGTTTCTCTCATATTTGTCTCTTTTCCATAGTATGGTTGTTTTATGCGTTTGAATACGTATTATCATAATGCATATGGGTACATTTATACTTGCTTACTGTCGTTATACTAGATATTTAACTATTCGTATTGCTAGAGTCAAATTTATTAATAGAATAGGTACTGTTCACAGTATTTATTATACATGGGGTTCACTACAAGTTCCTTTCACTTGTTTCTTCTTCTTTTCAGTATGAAATACCATGTAATACCAGGTGGACAAGTTCCGGCTGTCAAAGAAAGTTGTTTCCGGACTTAACTGGACGTTTATCAAGTTCATCAGTTCTCCGTTCATATTAAATTGACTATCTCTGTTGACAAGAAAGAGTATGAATTGGGGTCAGGCCTATCTTATATATGGGCTGTTACTTGTTTTTGATTGTTTTAAACATACTTGATTGATCTGTGCTACTGGAGATTTATAGTAAAGAAAGTTATGCAAATACTCGCCTCCTGTCATTACTAAAATTAAGATTATAGGTACACTACGTTGGCATAATCTACAATTGTTATTAGCTAGTTCCCTACTGCTCTCATTAATGAATTGTTGCATTAATAAATGTTGAAACAACATTCATGGTGGATCCTACATATTTCACATGAATGAAGATACTGTGAACCTGTAGTTGTAGGATTAAATAAAATTTTCATTTTGGGCATTCACATCTAAATACATTCTATATTGCTTTTACATATTATACGCTCTCACTAGACAAAATTATTTGAATTACTGGGGAAAAGGTAGATTTCTATGATAGTATTATGTGTAGTAATTGTATCACTATAAAGTTATTAAAAACTCTGAATTTTCTTCTATAATCTTATCTTCTGTGGCACTTTTATATTTCTTTATATATATATATATATATATATATATATATTTATATTTCTCTTGCCAAATGCACAACACATACAAACGCATACAAATAATTCCTCTGAAAATCCACTGATATAGTAGTGGTTGGCATTATTCTGAATTATATCATTTAAACTTTTTTTACAGAGTAAAAGCATCAAAGGACGACATCACAGACATTTTAAATGGGCCTGTCATCCCTAACAGACACTGTCCTAACCCTACAATCAAATCAACAAGCCCTTTTGCTCGACTACACCGCTCTTGGTGACAGGTCACAGCACAATCACTTAAAAATAAGGGGTTTACCTGACTTAATCACACATGGTGATCTCCCTCACTATATGAGACAACTAGTGGCCTCAGTACTCCCACCAAGCCAGGCAAAGAAGTTCTCCCTGGATGGGATCTATCGAATGCCGATTTCAGGCAGAGCTCCCGCTACCGTGACACCAGACGTCATCGTCTTTTGTTCCACGTCACAGGATGAAAGATCCTTGCTGACAGCACTACGGGGCAAGTCGCCACTAACCTTTGAAGGTTCTAACCTCTCTTTCTACCAAGACTTCACAAGGTCCACACTGCAATGGCAAAGATCCCTGAACCCTGTCACCAGCCAACTTAGAATGGCAGGAATAGAATATCACTGGAGATCACCCAGCTTCCTAGAGGTGTAACACAAAGGGACTGTACAACATTTCAATGCTTGCTGAAGCACCAAATTTTCTCTGAAGTCTTAACCCTGCACAACGATCCAGCACACATGCACGAGACCTAACGAGAGTTGTCCCCTCCACTTCTGCAGCTCTCCTGACCTCATTACCAGGGACATGAACGTCCACGAGTTCTGTTGCTAATTCGCGGTTTAAACTTTTATGTTAAACTAACTTACCTATTCAGTTTTATTATTTATAATCTTGATTACTGTTTAGCCAGATATAGTTCACATGTTCGGCCTAAGTTCAGCTATTTACACGTAGCCTAACCTCCCATAGCCAGATGCTCCTGCTCAGATGACTGGGGATTCACACATACTGTATGGGGTGCATTGCCACACCAACACCTGCCCCTCCGCCAACGCCTCTGTTGCCCCCTTGGTTAGGGGTACATTTAGAAGACAGCCTAAATGTGCCCTTCCCACTTGGTTGCACTTGGTTGCACTGTTGTGCTCATAAGCTATGTCACTGATCTCCCTGCACTATTGTACCCTCATGTGAATATGTCAATGTTTGGTTGTTTTACTCATGACCAGTTCTGACAAACGTTGTCTCCTGTAACAAATTTTATGTATACCGTGTCCTTTCTTTACTTCTATACCCAACCATGCAATGATATAACAAAAAAGAAAAGTTTTCAGTAAAAACTGAATGTCAAACGAAATAACAACAAATGCTAGTGTGCAGATTTCTCATTTAGAGCAATAGGAGATCACGGCTAAGGGCATTTTTCCCAATAATGATTATACAGGGTTTTTATTTTTTTTTACCAGAGAATTCAGCACACTTACATGCAGTATTTCTTTGTTATGTATTAACACAGAACCAAACAAAAGTACTTTGTCACCAAAAAAACTCCAATAACTAACTCCTGAGACCAAGGGTAGAGTAAATCCTTTATAAGATAGAGACCACTCTCAACCTCTGCTATTGGTTACAACATAAAAAAAAAAAAAAAAAATCATCATATAATCAAAGTAAATTTAGTAATGTGTAGGTCCACACTCTGAAATGAATAGAAAAAAAAATATCCAGAAAAGGATGCTCATAACCCTCTAGTAGCAGGTGTGTAGCCTCCCATGCTTTCGGTATGAGCGGGGTTAATTACATTATTGATGGGCTATGGAGTACCCAAATGGTACACTAGTTGTCCTTACTAATTAAATAGATATGGAAGATTACTGCTTTAAACCTCTGAATGCTAGTGCAATGCTCCGAATCCTCATCTTCTGGCGCTGATAGGAGAATCTTTAAAGTAACAAAAAACAAGTCCTGGTCAATGTAAATAAAAATGTAAATGCCTCTCACAAAAATTTAATATTTGTAATCCCTGCAATCAGGGCTGGACTGGAAATGAAAAATTGAAAAGCAGCCCTGGAAAAAAATTCCATACCAGCCCCATAATGCATTGCGCCAGCATTGTGTGCAGATATGGAAGCTGGAAAAAAAACCCTTAAAACTGAAAACTATCACTCAAACGTGAAAGAAAGCACTCATAGGGCTTCAAAATAAACAAAAGAGCGGATTTATTGTAAGCAGATGTGCATTTGCATATAATCAATGTTTCAGTCCAACTACCTTGACATATTAAGAAAAGTTTGGTCATTTGAACTGAAATTGTGAATGTATACTATTACACAGCAGTAAAAAAAAATTGTTATCTTGTTTTTTTAAGTAATAAGAGTGTATTCTTCACTTTGGCTTACAACTGGATACATTTCAGTCAATGCCAATTCAATTCCCATAGGAAAACATTGGGGGCCTATTGCGCATGTGTGAGAAAATGCTGCGCTTCACCGCATCAATCAGCATCTCCTCATAGAAATGCATGCATCAATGCATCTCTATGGGGAGCAATCAGCGCCTCCATGCAGAGTATGCAGCATTAGACTAGGAAGCATCTCTAGTGGCCGTCTGAGCAACTGTCACTAGAGATGTGCCTAGCCTAGGCAGCAATTTAGACACTGCCTTTTCTCTGAAAAGGTAGCATTTACAGCGCTCAGCCTACAGGGACAGGCTATTGACACCAAAACCACTACATTAAACTGTAGTAGTTCTGGTGTCCCTTTAATATGACGTCTTTCTCTCACCGGTTGACTCTGAGTTACAGGGAGAGCAGGAGACACAAGTGAAGATGCATTTTGCTTGTGTCTTTCTCCCCCAACCCCCTTTCATGTGTCTCTTAGCCCCAGCCCCATTGTCTCTTTCTCCCTTTCCCAAGCCCTTCTGTGAGTCTCTTTCCCAGGCCCCAGCACCTCTATGTGTATCTTTCCCCACAGCTCCTCTGTGTATCTCATTCTCTCCTTTCCCAGCCCCTCTGTGTGTCTCTTGTTCGTCTTCCTCATCTCCTCTGTGTTTGTCTCCTGTTCCCCTTTCCCAACCCCTCTGTCTCTTTCTCCCCACACACCTCTGTGTGTCTTTTTACTCCCCAGTCCCTCCATGTGTCTCATTACCCAACAGCCCTCCATGTGTCTCATTCCACCCTCTCCAGTCTTCCATTAGGTTCCTGCTGGCTCTAGAAGCCCATTAACAATGTCTTGTGTTAATGGGCTTCTAGAGCCAGCAATAACCTCCTGTGTGTGATTAGAGTTCCATTTAAAGAGAAGGAGATAAAAACTTTTAAAGCAAGTTATCAACTGATTGAAAATAAGCCATTTTTTCATGCAGGCTGTATGTGTCACAGCCAGGGAAGGTGTGGTAAAGGCTGCATAAACAATAACAAAAGTGACATGTGTCCCATTAGCCCCTAGCCCTCTATGTGTCCTGTTAGCCCTCCCTTCATCCATATTGTCCCCCCCCCTGCCCTCCATGTGTCCCACTAGCCCTCCCTCCCAGCCCTCCATGTGTTCCTATAGCACCCTCCCAGCCCTCCATGAGTCCCTATACCCCCTCCCACCCCTGTATGTGTCTCATTAGCCCTCCCATGTATCTCAGTAGCACCCACATGTGTCCCATGAGCCCCCTGTGTGTCCCATTAGCCCCCCAGCCCTCCATGTGTCCTATTATCCCTTCCTTCCAGCCCTCCATGTGTCTCAATAGCCCCCTCCCAGCCCTCAATGTGTCCCATTAGTCATCCCCCAGCTTTCCCTGTGCCCTATTAGTTCCCTCCGCTCTCCCTGTGCCCCATTAGTCCCCCCAGCTCACCCTGTGTTCCATTATCCCCCCCCCCCAGCTTTCCCTGTGTCCCATTAGTTTCCCTTCCCCCCCAGCTCTCTCTGTATCTTGCTGTAGCATGGGCGAGCAGGCAGAGGAGGAGCTCCTGCTCACTGTACCCGGTCTGACAGGAAGCAGTTCTGTGCGTTCTGTGAGCTCTTCCTGTCAGACCGAGTAGGAGAACAGGAGCTCCTCTACCGTGGTCTGCCTGCTCGGCCACGCTACATTCTGTGACCGGTAGGAGGGGAGCGCATCCCCTGCTGCCGGTCACCCTGTAATTGCGTTGTGCGGCCTGTGGTTCGGTGCACACTAGGCAGCCGCGCACCAGCCCACTAGTATGCCGGCCCACCGGGTAATTTACCGGTATCCCGGTGGGCCAGTACGGCCCTGCCTGCAATTGATGATGAAAAAATGGGAATATACATCTGAAGATATTGTGCAATGTGATTGTATGTTTATGTGCAACTTAAGTATATTCAACAGAAAACTACATTAATAATAATAAAAAGTATCCATTAAATATGGCACAGTTAAAGTGCTGCCTTAAAACGGTCGAGCTTTGTTTCAGAAAGTCACATTATTTGGGTTTGGTGAAATTCTAATTAATCAATAGTTCTTTCCTCTTCTGAAACATATCTACAGACATCATAGCCAGCAAGATTGTAGTTTTGAAGTATTTTTGTAACTTCAACAATCCAAAACTTCACTGTATTTCATACACTATATCTCTTCAACAGAATGGTAAAAGTTTATTAAAGGTTATTCCAATTAAACAAAAATTTAAGTATAAGCTCACCTGCCTCGTCAAGGCAAAACCGCTTAGGTGAGTCTTAAACATGGCAGGTGAGTTTACACTAAAACGGCCAATGGAGTAATACTAAAAAAACCTCCAGTTATTTAAGTGTGCATAGGGATTTGGGATAGTGTGCTAGTAATCCTTTTCTTTGGGTTTTCATTTTTATTAGATGCCTATGAACTACATTTCACATGATGCTTACACAGTCATTCAAGGTTATTCTCAAGGTTAAACTTCAATCTGTACCGGATTGAAATCTCAATTAAACAATGTTGGCAAAATAGCTGATATGGAAAACAAATTCCAACTCAAATATAGTCACAGCTTGTCTACTTTTTGCAATTTAGAATTCAATCTTGTAATATTTGCAGTTTAGTAATAAACCTAAATATTGGGAAAGGAAGATGTATATAACCACACCCATGTTTCCTAGAAAATTCTGCATCCACGTACCTCTGATCTTGACTCATCCATTATGACTAAGGTTTACACCAGCAACCACTTGTGCCAGCAGTGGCTTACATACCATGGTCACAGGGGTTGCAGCTGTGACGGGGCCCGTCACTCCAGGGGGACTGGCCACCCTGCAGACCCTTGAGACCGGGTGCCTGCCGCCATGTGTTGCAGCCCCGGACCGTGCGGCAAACCGCCGGGACCGTGCGTTCAAGGAGCCCATCGGGTGGCCCATGCTGTTAGGGCCACCTGATAGAGATGAATTTCCAGGAGGCTCCAGTCAGCGCTGCGGCGCTTTAACATTGCGACCGGGCCCCCTGTGATGAGATCACAGCTGGGAGGAAGTGACTGCCTGTCACTCCTCCCAGCTATCAGCGAGAGCCCGCGCGGGAGGAAGGAGAGGGAGTCAGAGTGGGAACTTTGACTCCCACCAGCCTGAGCCACCACTGGACCCCAGGGAAAGTCACCCTCCTGCATCTAAAAGGTAGGAAACAGGAGGGTGACTTAAACATTTTGTATATGTGTGTTTTTGTTTGTATATATGTTTGTCTGTGTGTATGTGTATATGTGTCTGTGTGTCGGTGTGTGTGTGTCTGCCTGTGTCTGTATGTATGTGTCTGTCTGTATGAATGGGTCTGTGTGTCTGTCTGTATGTATGTGTGCCTGCCTGACTGTATGTATGTGTATGGGTCTGTGTGTCTGTGTGTATGTATGTGTCTGTGGGTATGTGTCTGTCTATATATATGTGTCTGTGTGTGTGTGTGTCTGTATGTATGTGTGTCTGTATTATTATTATTTATATAGCGCCATCAGATTCTGTAGCGCTGTACAATGGGTTGACTAACAGACATGTAATTGTAACAAGACAACTGGACGTAT